TATGGCGGCTAGTGTAGAACCCAGGCGGACTACTTAAATTAGGTACCAAAAGTACACATGTAGCTAGTTGTATCCTCATGAAAATTGATGTAATATCGTATTTATCTGAATAAAGCCAAGTGTTGGGGGCTTAAGTGGTCACCTTAATATTAAAAAAAAAAAAAAAAAAAAAAATATTTTTATATAATAATACCCATCTGTATAGTATAGTCAGATCTCTATATAATCACCAAGTTGGGTGCGCCCTATTCCGGTGATTATAAAGAGATGTGACTGTAAACCTTAAACCTCTATATAATCACTATTATATGAAAAACTGTATATAGGTGATTATAAATTTTATACTATAATTTATAACTATAAAATGTTTATTAATATATTATAAGGTAGCTACACGGTGCAGTTATACTAAAACCAGAAATGTAGATAATGATTTTGTAAAAGCTATTTCATTAGCACATTATAAAGCTTTTTTATTAGATATAAATTCAGAGAAAATAAAATAATTTTTTATGCATATTGCTGTGAAATAGAAAGGCTTTGTATTATAATTTTGCCAATTTAACTTAGTCTATAAACAATGTATAGTAATTTAGAAATTATAAACATTAAAAATATTTAGCTATTATACACTCATAATAAAAAGACTACTCAATATGTAAGTATTAAAGCAACATTTGTCTCAAATTAGTAATCAGCTAATCAAATATATGACAGGCCCAGTTATGGTCCATGTAGTGATTTGAACTGGGAAAAAATTCCTTAATTGGTTAACCGAACTGAAATATTTGATATCAATCAATTACAACAGGCTAAAATCAAAATTCTATTTCACATGCTTTACTTTTAGAAATTCTTGAAATATTTCTCAAATTTTTTGTCTCAGCCTTACTTATCTTTTTATGTTTATTCATTTTCTTTTCAGAACTTTTCACTTCCTTTAGATATTATTTACATATTATATTGATCCTGTTAACTGGTTATTCAGTTATACAGATGAACTTATTAAAAATTTATTTAACTAGCTAATCAAAATTTAATCGGTTTGGGTCAGTTAACTGATTATAGCCCAACTGGTTTAAATCACTAGGTCCATATTTAATTAAGCAAGCGAGCAAAAGTATAAAGTAATCAGTAATTAGATTATTTGGTAAAAATATAATTAACATTATTTAATTATTAAGCAATAGCATAAGTATTTTATAATAATAGTGGTTATCATGTAAATTTAATCTTGTTATTTCTGCGAATTTGACTTTTTCAAGTTATATCATTCTCTCTTTCCTATCTAATAGTTATATTTTGGATGATTGAATAAGGAAATATATCAGTTGCTATATGGCTGATATGTTCGTCATACTTTTCCAGTATTATGGTCTTTCCGTGATCTATATATTTTTTTTTTATATTCAATTTCATTTCTTTCCTTTCATTATTTTGATTGTCCTGGGCTTAGTTCAAATTTATATTTGTTAAAACCTGTTGGAGATACATCCACGGATCTGCACTACCCAAATTAAAAATAATAATAAAACCTGTACAAATTATAGTAAAATATAACAGTATATGAACAGATAGTAGTAGTATCGGGAACAAAGCGAAATTGCTCCACTTACTATCACATATAAAATGGTTTGATTCGTTCAATAAGGCCAGATTTCGTAACATATAGGAAGTAAAAACAGGAAGAAATGTTGATATTATACAACTGATTTTATACATAGCATGCAATATATAAAAAAATTATTTTACAATACTTGATCAGTCTTGATTAGTCTGCTAGTATATGTTATAATTATAATTCTACACCATTTTATTATATTAAAAATGGTGTGTGATTATAATTATAACATATACAAGCAGACTGATCAAAACTAATCAAGTATTGTAAAATAATTTTTTTATGTGTTGCATACCATGTATAAAATCATTTGCATAATATCAACATTTCTTTCTGCTGGAAATAAGCAGTTTTGGCCGAAGAGTCATAAGTGTAAGGTTTCACCTATTTATTATTAACTTTGTTACTGTTTTGTTTGAGTCTAGGTCTCTTTATTATTGTATTCCATAAAGTTGTACTGCTAAATATTGTTTATAACTAAGGAGCCAAATCAATATGTATCTGTGACTATTCATGTTGTTTATAATATATAATAAAATACTGTACTATATATACAATTATGACATTTATTTCATAAGTACGATAATCTATATTCACAAAACTATGAGTTATTTTATAATTATTGTAACATACAATTAATTCATTTGATATTTGTTTTAAAACAAAAAACAATATAAAACTAATAAAATATTGTATATATTTTAAAGACATCTATAATAATCAATGATCTGACCAATAAAAAAATATTTATAAAAAAAATCAGGATGAAAAAAAATGATATTGTGATTACTTAAAAAAAAGATCATAAAAAACTCTTTAAAAATTTATCTACACGCGAGAGTGGTGCTAATACTATTGGGGTGACTAAGATTAACTAATACCAAACACTAAATTATAACAACGAGCAAGTCTTAAACCCTAAAAAGACAAACTGTATAGATTGACTTGATTTGAGCATTAAGGTTTGAGTCTTGTTGCGACAACTGTGGAATAAGTAAGTTACTGTGAAAAAATAATTCTTTAAATATGAATAAGTGCTTATTATATAATTTAGTTCTCATAAAATATTTTAATAGAGAAAAATAGTAAAATAATAAAAATACTCACTAGAAATAACATGCAAACTTAAATAAATTTTTAATCTTTATGAGTAAAGAAGTCAGTTATTGCCACCTGCTTCTTTGCTTAAAATTTATGTCATTTAATTATTTTGATATATTTTTTAAAAATATACAAATCTTTCATCTTGAATTTATCTGCTTGTTGTTGCTCAAAAAAGGTTATCTAAGTATGTAATGATTTGTTTGCATCATTTAGAGATACTAATATGGGTTCTTCTTCAGAATTATCTGAATGATTTAGATCATTACTTTTAATATGTACTTCTTCTTAAATTAAATGTATAATATTATTTTTATTCAAAACATCTTCAGTTGGAATTTCTTCATCCAGATCATGAAAAAAGTTATTTAATACATTTGCTAATAAATTAGCTAAAGAGTTATTAGATGAACTGGTTAAACCTTCGACCATTTGATTAGCATTATCTTGTTTATTTATTAAAATATTTTTCTGATTATGAATCACACTTATCATTAGTAATCATAGGTAGTATGCCAGTTTTTTTCCAGCAGTTATGTATAGTTGCTTTCAATACACCGTTCTATGCATCAACTATATAATTAATTGCTACTTTAATATTTAGTTTATTTTTATTTATATCTATTTTATCTTCAAAAATGCTTAAAACATGTCAACAATAATTTTGCTTATAACGAGCTTTAAAGCTTGCAATAATTCCCACATTTAAAGGTTAAAGATGACTTGTAGTATTAGGTGGTAAAAAGGCTACTTCGATATAAGTTAGATTAAGTTAAGTGATATCTAGTTGAATAAAGTTATATTTTTTACTTTTACTTTTATATTTAGTATCTATTATTAGTATAAAAAAAAAATTAGTTGCCTTTGATTAAAAAATATTAAGGCTGCTATATAAAAGAATATTTATTCTAACTATATTTGTAGGTATCTTATCTTAACGATTCTAATCTTCTTAAGTATAATTAGAATAGTATATTATATTAGTAATATTTTGGCAAGATTAGAATGATTTAGTATGATTAGATTAGAGGACTCTCAAATACAATTAGAATATTATCTAAAAAAATCTAATTGCTAATTTTTAAGTGCTATTTAGAAGATTTCTATAAAATAACAAAATACACTAATATACTAAATATTGCATAAGTATAAAATAATGTACAAGTATATTATTTTAAACAATAGCCTAAATAAAGTTTAATTTGGACAAAATTGATATTATACCCTGCGTATTATTTGTGCTTATATAATACAAAATTTTATTTATTAATATCTATAATTACCATGTACTAGGTTTAGCATTTTGGCTTGATTTTGGCGAAAATTTCTATGTGATCTAGCTGAAATAGAACTCTCTTTACCATAACTATTATATTCATCATATTCATCATTTTTATTAATTTCAAAAATCTCCTCAATAATATTAGTATCAGTAACATTGATATTATTATTTTGTTCAATTTCAATATCTTGAAGACAGTTATTTAAATCAAAATATGATGGTGTATTGTCAACTAAAAATAAAACTTTTTATTTTTAGCTCTAAATTTATTATCTATATATTTGAGCACTTCTTCAAAAAGCGATGAATTCATCCAAGCTTTTGGATTTGCATGATAATATACTAGAAGACAGTTTAAATTCATATGACCAAAAGCTCTTGGACATGGTGATTTACCAATTACCTATAGTACTAATTTATCAGTTTCCATTGCATTAACTTCAAAAAGAATTGTTATTCTAGTTTTATCTTTTTTTTTGACCAAGAATAGGCTTTGATGAAAGTGTTTGGTTTAGCTGCATTCTATAAAAAAGACCTGTTTTATCAATGTTGTAAATATTATCAAGAGGGTATTGAGCTAAAAGTTTGTGCAATTTAAGTCTTTCTTCTGGTAGAGATTTTAGTGATACACTTCCTGATTCTCTGTGTATATAGTATTTTTGAATATTATTGCGCTTCTTAAATTTTTCTAACCATCCATTAAAAAAAACTAATTTATTCTCTGGTACATTAAATGCAGAAGCAAAAATTTTGGCCTTTTCTTTAATTAGCAAGTTAGTTAAAATAATGCCTCCTGCTGTTATGTTTTCTATCTATAAGTTTATTACTTGATTAAATAATAAGAACTTAACTTCTCTATGCCTTTAAAATTTAGCAATAATTAAAAATTTTAAAGCTTTAATATTTGTAAGTAGGATCTGGAATGGGCTGGGTCAGGCCTGGCAATTCACAGATCAACTGGATCAGATTGGGTTTGTGCTAAAATTTCAAATCTGTAAGTTAATTAGGCCGGGTTTGGGCCAGGATTAAAAATCCTCAGGCTGGGCCCAGACCGGGCCAAAAAAATACTAGGCTGGGTCTAAACTGGGTTCATAAAATGCTGGGCCAGGTACGGGTTTTATAAATAGACTTGTCAAAACCTAATAATACCCATAGATACTGCTTTAACCTAATTAAGTTTATTTTTTTTTATAGTACTACTAATAAAACTATGAATAGCCAATTAAAGTCATGTTATAAACCTGAATAAAATTAGAGTTTATTGTCAAAACCTGTTATTTGAATAAATGTATTTATGTAGAAATAAATAAAACTTGCACCTTTAAATAAATGAATATGTATATACATATTATAGCATCATACTTATTACAATAGCCTAAAGTAAACTGAAAATATAGCATTGAATTTTCTATACCAATACACTTTTATAAATCTATAAAAATTTTTTTTTGCTTCATTTAGATCAGAAATAAATAATTACGTATAATTTTTCTAGATGTGTTGAAATAGAAAAAGAGATATGTGAAATAAAAATTAAAAGGATATTATACCTTTTTTTTTTTATTTTTTTTAAAAAAAAAAACAAAAAAAGAGCATATCGTATACTTGTAGTCTTAGCAAACCATTCAATTAAAGCAATTATACTATTCATAACTAAAATAAAAATTGATTCAGAAGGTAATGAAAGTACAGATAATATGGATAGTACAGGCTCTGAACAAACCTCACTTGTAAAAAAACACACACTTATCAAAAAACATAAAAAGGTGGTAGAGAACCATTATAGGTATTTAAAGAAAGACATTTTATCAAGTCTAAAGATCCTGAGAAACATAAGAATTTAAAATAATTATTAGATTATATTAAAAAATGCATTTAATATATATTTATAAAACAATATATAATTCTAG